TGTTCTTTTCTTGCATATTTCTCTCCAGGTGTAACATCACACAGCAGCTCACTTGACCCCACCCACATTTTCTTTTTGGTTCAGTTTAGATGGGATTAAGATATTCTATAGATTTGCTCACCTTCTATATCAGTGCCAGCAAACCCTCTGCATGTGTGCTGCTCTGGGCTGTTCATTTCACTGAAAGCTCTAGAAGGTTCACCATCACTGCTCTATGTCATATACATGAGCCATAATGATTAGATAATTCGACATCCAGTTAATGGCAAACATGAACCTAACTCAAACTTTCCTAATGACAGTAGATGATAATATTTCTTAACAGACCTGGAAAAACACACCCCAAATCCCTGTAGGCAATGAACTCAGTGGGAGCAGACTTTAATATATTTTTGAATGGTTTGGGTCCAAGCAAGAAGTCTACCAGACTGCAAAACTTCATGAGGCACCTACTTTCTGCTTTGCAGTGGTGCAATTTGATCAGTAGGTGGCAGGCGCCTCTAAAGAGTAAACTGAGCTTGAAAGAGACATCGCACAAATACAGCAGTGTGTGTATGTGCAAATGTATCAAATCGCCTGATTTTTAGTCCTACTCTAAGGCCTCTGTAATTGGCTACCTTAGAGAGAATGCTCTACAGAGAAATACTCCAATACAGGCAAAAGCCTGTGGGACTCCTACCCTTTCCTTTTCTACCTAACACTTTGCTTCCCTCATGAAGGAGTAAGGAGGAGGGAATATATGTTAGCAATTTCCAGAACGTGCTAGAACATTCAGCTCTCCTAATGACGAGTTATTGTGACAAACTAAATTATGATGCAACAGGAACAGGGACATACTAATGTCTTTGTTTCCTTTTGGGGACATTTCTTTCAGGGTGTAAGATGTAGTGAATTCATACATAGCAGCCTACATGGGGTATCATAAAGATTTGCTATTTTAAATGGCCTAATTGAGTTTCTCATCTTTGCTGGTAGAGCTGGAAGGTGTGGGAAGTTGACAGAGGCGAGGAGAGACACTTAATTGGTGCTGTGTTCTATATATCCTTATGTAACAGCTCTTGGAAAGGGATGAAATCTTATATAAAAAGGCAAGGAAGGAAGCCTAACCACAGAGGATACTGGCGACACCCCAGGGCTCACCATTGTGCCAGCAGTAGCTCGTGCAGGAGTGACCACAAACAGAAATCCACTCCCAAAAGGCTCGGGTGCCTTCCAATTGCTGTGAGATTGCATTGCTTAAACTTGTGAAGGTTTTGCTCTAACAAGGTTAAGTAAATTGTCACAAAACAGCAAAACCAGAGCAAGAGACCTTCCTAAAGTGTGAAAAAAAAAATACTGAAAAAGCAACCTATTTGCATACAGGGCTTACGCTTGAACACGATGTAAAAGCTCAGTGCTGTGTGCATCTGAACAGAGCTTTAGAAATTACTTGTTCTCCACTAAGCACTTTGCCTCTGATAAATTATTTAACCTCTGGAGCCTTGTTAAGGACAGCAGGGTTGGTGCCTTCTCTTCTGTCCTTTTATGAATCTTAGGTTGCCAGGAGCCTATGGCATAATCAAAGTGAAGCAGCCCACAGTGGCCTGCTGGCTGCTTGCTGGAGGGTACAGCACTGCAGGACACAGGTTCAGCCAAGAGGCCTGGGATGGCCTTGGCCCCTCCTGGGCGCTGCCCAGGCTTGGTGCAGTGGAGACTGCAGCAAGCGGGCTGGCACGCCCCGTTAAAGTCACAGCAGCCCAGCTCATTCTGTGGCTGCACCCAGGAGGATCTGGATCCTGGCTGACAAAGAGAGGTTTGCTGCAGAGGCTCCCGCGGCCTTAGGAGGAGCGGGATTCAGGGCTATGGACTGGGCAGGGCTGAAAGGAGGTGTTTATGGCTTACATTTCTTCTTGGAGTCCTTACCTCTGATCTGACTGCTGAGAACTCAGCCTTATAGTGAGGGTGAAATGCTTTCTATTTCTACCACCATATTCAGACCCATTTTAATCTTTCTGGGAAACTCAGAAAAGGGGTGGATACCCTGTCCTAGTCATCACTGGGTTGCCAGGTTGCCCTCTGCAAAGCAGGCAATAAGGTCCTGCCACTCTCTGCAAACCTGCCTGGTGGCACGTCTACACCATCAGGGCAGGATTCATCCCATCTGGGAGCCCTGCAATGCTTTTCACCTGCTGCCTGCATTAGAGACATTCTTAGAGGATGTTTATAGAGAGCAAAGCTGTAAGGACTTACAGGGATGTTCCTTTGGGTGGTATCTTTATTGTAAATGACACAAAAGCCTGGCAACCATTTACTGTCCCTCGGTAGGGATTGAATAAACTATGGTATATTTATAGAATGCAGTAGAATACAACCATGGAAAAGAAGGAAGCTGCTCTACATTTCCTGATGTGAGATTTCTGAAGGAAGGGAGGCAAGAAATAGTGCTACAGTGTTTGTTATTTTATCTTTTTTTTTTTTTGTCTTTTTGAGACAGAATCTCTAGGTGCAGTTCAGGCTGGCCTTGAGCTCACTTTGTAGCCTAGGCTGGTTTTGAACTCAAAATGATCCTCTTGCCTCAGCCTCCCAAGTGCTGGGATTACAGGCATGAGCCATATAGTTTGTATTATTAACATCGTGTGAGCATATGGTATGAACCCTTTCACTTGTGGGGATATGTTCCAAGAGTGCCTGATGGTACCTGAAACCATGGATGGTGCTGAATCCTGCATAAACCTTTTCCTATGAATCCATTTTGAATCAACTTTTACCTTTTAACACAGGGAGACTTCTACAAGTTCTCTTTGGCATGCCTGAGTTGCTAGCATCACTATTCTTTTGTGTTAAAGCCATTGTTAAGTAAAATAAGGATTACTTGAACACAAACCCTGTATTACTGCAACGGTTAATCTGAGAACTGAGATGCTTCTATTTGACTCATGAGTGGGTAGTGCATACAGTGTGGATACTCTGGGTAAAGAGAGGATGCATGTCCCATGTGAGGTGGAGCAGAATGACATGAAATTTTATCACGCTATTCAGAATGGTGTGTAATTTAAAACTTATGCATTGCTTATTTCTGGGATTTTCCAGCTAGTATCTTTAGATTGGTGGTGAATCCAGGTAACTGTGACTTCAGAAAGCAAAACTGCAGGTAAGGAATGACTGTTGCATTTGTCTTCTTGGGCATAGAAGGTGTGAAGTAGTCTAGAAGCAGGTGGAACACATAGGGAGCAAAGTGTATAAAGAAGGCATGGCACTCTGAGGAGCAGTGGAAAATCTGGCACTGAGGGATGGAAGGGGAGAGGCTTGGTGGGGCCAGGTTTGGGGTGCTTCTTTCCCAGATGGGAGCTTGAATGACGGAGGGGCTACCTGCTGCATAAAAAAAGTGACAGGGACCATGTATTTTAGAATAGCATACTGAGAGCCGATTTCTTACTCAATCTGCACTAGAAAGCAGCACAGCTCTTGTTTATAACTTTGCTGGGGTGACAATTTTGACACATGAAATGACAAAAGACATGAAATGACAAAAGACTTACAAACACCACATTATGTTATGCTATGTTATCTATTTTGGTACCAGCAATTGGACTCAGGACCTTGTGCTTGCCAGGCAGGCACTTGTGCTACTGAGCTACATTCCCAGGCTCCATATTATGCTTTTAAATAATGAATCTAATATTTATAAGTATATAAGATATTTACTACCAAATATGTGAACCAAGCATACCAACGTACACTACAGAAAATACAAGTGTAGCTGGTTTATATCAGAACACTTTGGAGCACAAGAGATGACAGACAACCTTCGGTAGACTTAGCTGGCAAAGGCTGTGGATGCCCGCAGATGAGAGAGTGAGCAGAGGATAAAAGTCAATAAATGAAGCTCAAGGATGAAAGGTGGAGATGGGCAGGGCAGGCAAAGGTATAAGTGAGGAAAAGACTGGCCAGGCTGACGGTGAGAGTCCAGATGGTCACAAGGTGACAGAGGACAACAAATAGCAGGATAAGGATTTTTCATACTTTTCTTGTGTATGTCCTTCAGCCAAGAGGGTGACATAATAAATGTGCTTTTAAGACTATTAATCTGGCTGTGTAATGCAGGATCAATTAGAGAGGAAAAGAGACTCCATCAGTTAGAAAATCACTGTAGCAACCTAGACATGAGCTACATGAGTTCCTAAATATAGCTGTGCTGGTGTTCAGTGTTGGTCCACTTTCTCATTACCTGCTGTCTTGCAGGACCACAGTAGGTGCTTTTACAGAGCAATCTTTTTAAATATGAACAGCTTGCAAGGGCAAATCTTTATCCCTCTTTTGCAAATGAAATTAAGGATGGGGATGTAGTTTAGTGGTAGGTCACTTGCTTGGCAAGCATAAAGCCTTCGGTTTAATCTCCAGTAACCCCCCGACACACACACACACACACACACACACACACACACACACACACGCATGCACACACACGCACACGCACACACAGTCGCATTCACAGTCACACTCACACAATTCATGTTTGCAAGTGGGAGACTCGATCTTGAGTCCATTCATTAAAGGGGCCCAGCATTGTCTATGCTACATAACAGTTGATTTTCCTGTTTTGTGGCAGTGGGGCAGGAAACTCACAGAAGAACACTGTCATTCTGAGGATCTGGCATGGGTATCAGGAACCCAGTATTCAAGTAGAGTAGGGAGAAGCAAACATTTCCACTGCTGATGAAAAGGAAGTACAGCTGAAAGGTGTTTTAAACAAAACACAAGTGCCTTGGGAAGCTGGATGGAGAAAAGACCTTTCACTTTGAGGCATCCATGAGAAGCTGACCTGAAGATTAGCATTTGTAAAAGAAACAAAAAATGTTGAAATAATTCATTGGAATTGAGTAAAGAGGAAAAAAAAAAAAAAAGAATGAGGCACAGATAATGAATAAATCCAAATTGTATTTGAATGATAGAATCTTAAAAATGGAAGTTTAATCATTTTAAGGAAATTTAAAAAGCACTGATGTGGCACCATAGAAAAATGTTTGTAGCAAAAAGATTTCCTGGGAGGAAATGTGTGCCAAGTAAGTTGGCAGGGGGAAGAGCGGCAAAACAAATCTTTGAGAAAATATCACAGCATCTTGACTAGTGATTCCCCCCCCCCCTCCCAGGAAGTACTTATCTACCAGTTAAAGCTTCTAATTGAGGACCTCTTGTAGGGTTTGAAGCTTTTACTCTATGACATAAAATACAAATAACCCTTGAATCTTGTTTCTTCAGAATTTAAATGTGTCAGGATTCAAATAAAGTCTTTGGAATTTAAATAAATTCTTATTTTAGCATCATCGCACTCAAAGGAGAAGGCCCGACGCTGGCAGAGCGAGTCAAGCGCTGCTCGGCTTCCTCAGGGTTCGATTTTGTGTCAAACGGCTGCGATGAACGTGATCCGCGGAGCCTGAGCGCTGTGTCCACTGGGGTCAGTAGAAACCAGAATCGTATGAGAGTTCTGGACTCGTGTGAAGACCCCCCTGCTTCATCTCCCAGGTTTAATCGATTTGACAAAAGGGATTCATTCAAGATACTGTAAAATGGGAAAAACATTCAAAAGGAAAGAGAAAGTGGGATAGGGGAGTGGAGAAATGAAGGCAGGGAAAAGCACACAAAAGTTATATATGCACAGTTAATTTACATATTATATATATAGTAAAATTACATACATATGACAGTTAATTTAGTGACACTAGGGCTAGGGATTTAGCTCAGCAGCACAGGTGCCTGCTTGGCAAGCATGAGGTCATGAGTTCAATCTCTAAGACCAAAAAGTAAACAAACAAAAAAATGATAGTGATACTACTAATTTCTTTTAGCTCATTGAAAAGAAAGATTTGTTTGGACTATTCAATGCCAATGTCTTGTACTGTGAGTAACTAGTTTAAAAATAATAATATGCAATGTATTAAACCTTGTTACTCTTCTATTATCTTATTTTAAAATTTTGCTTTATCTTTTTTTTTCCTCTTTAAAATAAAAAAAGTGTATCCACTGAGTGTTTCACAAGTACCTTGTGCTTAGGGACAATGTGATTAGTGAGAGGGCCAAAGAATTTCAGGTGACAGAGGTCGGGGCTCTGAGAGCTGGACCCCACCTCCACTTCACATGAAATTATGTCACATTTGCAGTTTTGGAAAAGCAGTTTTGATAATCAAGAAGAAAGCTAGAAGTTTCCAAGAATGCCTGCACAATAACAATGAAAATTAGCACTCGGTGCCATTAGCCACCCCATTACCATCTACCAAACCAGTCAGCATTCACCCTCCCGGGGCCCTATCTCTACTGCTCTCCTCTGCCTAGAAGGTCTCACCAATGGCCCAGCCTGGGCGGGCAGGTTGAGGCCCACATCGGCAGCCCTTGCTTGCTCTTGGCCCAGAGTTGCAAGTTCATGGCCTGATTGATGGAACTCAGCATCTCAGCTTTGCTGGGTTCCCGTGGGGTTTTTCTACTATGTGGGTGATGAGATTCCTATCACAGAGACAGGAGATGACCCGAGAGGCTTGGGACTGGACAGACTAGCTAGAATAGAAGCTCAGGAGCCTGCTCCCTGTGCTGTAGCTTCTCTTCCTGGCCTGGAGGATACAAGGTTAGAGCATCTGGAATCAAGCAGGTTGGAGGAAGTGCCCTGAATGTCCCCACCTTCAGCACCTTGCATCAGCTGATGTAACAGATACTTAGTAAATGTCTGACAAAGGAGCAGATGATGAATGCAGATATAATTATCATGTAATTATATTATATGATAATTATAATAGAAGAAATTCTAATAATAGAAGAAATTCTATTATTAGAGAATTGAAGATCAGAATATATGAGGAAATGCACTTTACTTTAATATCTTGTATCTAGAAGGACTGTTAGAGATGAGGTAGTCTAAACCTTCACTTGGTACGTGAAGAAACCAAGGCCAGCAAAGAGAACTAATTTGCTCAAGGTCGTGGAGCCTGCTGGTGGCAGAGGTGCACTGAAGTCTTTTCACAAATTAAGTGTTGTAGGATTTGTGCTTTTCCTTTATCTCTTTTTTTCCCAAGCTGACATGCTGAAATTGCTTTCTCTCTGTCTTTCTGCCTCCCTCTCCCTCAGAATCTCATGTAATCACGGAAGAGCTATGTTACATCCTTCCTTAGACAGAGCCCCTTTACCGTCTCTGACCACGAGGGATGCATGCCTTAGCTGAATGAAGGGACTACCCATCAATCACACTAGAAGCTTCTTTTGTAAGAAATGGGTTGGTCTGAGGCTTGACCTTTTTTAAATTTTTTTTGTACGAAAGGGATTGAACTCACAACCTCACACCTGATAGGCAGGTGCTTATGACACTGAGCTAAATCTGGCCCTGAGGCTTGAACTTTTAATACACAAAGCTATTGATTGTTACTGTGATTCTGAATTCATGTGTTCATATGTGTAAGTACACACACGCATGCACATACTACCTGACACACACACTGCAGGAGCACTGATGAGGGTGCTGGAACATCTGAGTCCTTCAAGGAGTCACCGTAGCTCTCCATCACCTTTCTTTTTCTTTCTTACTGCCTCCTATCACCACCCTGCTCTCAGAAAAACCTATATCCTCACCAGCACTTCTCCTCCATTCTAATTGGGATTCTGCTATCACAGTGCTAGGCATAACATTCAGTACCATTGTAGTCACCTAAACCTTTTTATTTCCACAGCCCCACAGCACAGACACTCAGCACAATAGTGTGATTGTTTTTACTAAGCACCCACACTAAATATTTTCCTCAAGGAAACTACTTACTCTTAAGTGTTTTCCTTCCTTGTGTATTGTATGATCTGGAAAATTGCCTTTCAGGGTGGAAGGCGCCAGGTAGAGTCAAACCATTGATTGCAGTGAGTTAGACATTCCAGATGAAACGGCTGGGCTAACTAAACATGGAAATCAGAACAGAAGGGTACAGTAGATATTGTAAACAGGGAGAAACTGTTCAAAAGGAAAAGGAACTGGTGGGGAGGGAGGGGGAGAGGATGGAAGGAAAGAAAAAGGCGAGGAAAGAAGGATAAGATGAAAACCGAGCTTTATGAAAGGGAAGAGGTGGGCGGTTTGAAAGGAGGGATGGACATGGAAGAAAATAAAGAGAAACCAAGATAGATTGTGTACAGATACAAATTCTTTATAATGAAAGTGGTCATTATGTGTACTTAAACTGTGCCAATAAACTTTAAAAAGACACCCAAGCTGGCAGACACAAAGTTGTAAAATAACCAGATTTTAGTTTTTTATCAGTCAGCTCTCATTATTTATTTATTTATTTTAACCAGTACCAGGGATTGAACTCACGACCACCTGCTTGTAAGGCAGATGCTTATGCTGCTGAGCTAAGTCCCCAGCCCAGTCATCTCTCTTTTAAAAAAGCTATTTGTTTCTATAGTAGTTTTTCCTCCCCAAACCCGTCTGGACCTTTAATTGCCAGTGCGGCTAGTGAGAGGTGGTGGCATCCTCTGATGTAACTTGATGTAAGGGACCCTTCCTTCCGAGAGTAATGCAGTTCCTGTTAATCACCTCCAAATCGGTTTCTGTAAAGTAGTCAGCTCATTGTCCCCTCCCTCTGTTCATTACGTATCTGCCTCCTTTTCTGCTCATTTGCCTTGCACAGGGATGCACATGGGCCTCACCACATGCCAATCACATGCCAGCATTTTCCAAGCCCTAGGACAATGAGCTGAAATAAACCTTTTTTATCTGTGCATTACGCAATCTCAGGTATACTGTTACAGAAACAGAATAAGTGGACCAAGGCAACTGATGTTTTGGCTTGAGATGTTGTATTCTAATTAAGAAGACCTACAATCGAATAACTTCCATATCATGGGCTATGTTCTTGGGTACCACATTCCACAACGTATTTCTCCAGTTAGCCAGGCAATCTATGGAGGCCTTGTAGAGCTGTGGCTTCTTCATGGGAATGTCTACCTCCAGAGAACACGCAGCCCAGAGATAGAGAGGAGCAGGGATTTCCTTCGCACCCTCCAGAAGGAATAGATTTACCCCACTCACTGCTCTAGAGGCAGAAGCCTGGCCTTGAATCTGCTGATGTTTTCAGATTCCATGGTTACAAAATGAGGACCCAAGTCTGTGTCCTCTCTGCCTCCAAAATGAGCGAAATGAGACTTTACAGTAGCATTTAGGAAAATGGAACCACAGGCATTTCTAGGGGGGACTTCCAGGCTCGTCCCCCGAGCTGTGTGGTTCACATTTGCACCACTGCACCTACGTAGTAGCTCTGTCCATGAAGGAAGGCTGCAGTGTTGTGTCCAATGGCTGCCTCACACCATAGTGTGGGAAGGAGTACCAGGACTGGAGTCTGAACTTCATTTCCACTGATGTAAAATAAAGGATCCAGCATGTGTGATTGGAAGTTTTCTTTTAACCCTTGGCAGCTATTGATTTTAAAATGCCATTGACTCAAAAGAAAGGGGAATTATAATTCGTGGGATTCCACAGGGAAAGTGACCTTGGAGGAAGTCCAAGTCTTTGTGAAGAAAGAGCCCTGGTAGGAGGCAAACAAAGCTGTCCTCAAAAGGGTCCACACAAAGATCTGTGTTGGGGTGTTTGTGGCAGCTTTATTCATAGTTGCCAAAACTTGGAAGCAACCAAGGTGTCCTTGAAGAAGTGAATTAATGCACTGTAGTCCATGCAGAGCATAGAATGTTGTTCAGTGTCAAGAATAAATGAAGAAAGAAGCCATGAAGGGCACCAAAGTGAAGGAAACCAATCAGAAAAGGCTATAGCCAGGCTTGGTTGTGCGTGCATGTAATCCCAGCACTAAGGAGGCTGAGGCAGGAGGACCATTGTGAGTTAGAGACCAGCCTGCATTACAAAGTGAACTCAAAGCCAGCCTGAACTGCATAGCGAGACCCGATCTCAAAAAGGCCAAAAGAAAAGCAAAAAGGCTGTAAAGAGATGATTCCAATTGCATGAGATTCTGAGAAGGGCAAAATTAGGGAGACAGGGAAAAGACCAGTGCTTGCCAGGGGAGAGAGGAATGAATAAGTGCAACACAGAGGACGCTTGGGGCAGCGGAGCTGCTCTGTGTGATGATCCTGCAATGGCAAACGCAGCTCCTCGGGTTGGGTGGCAGCATCCAGGGCGAGCCCTGTTGTAGGCCACAGACTTGGGTGACACGCCGCGCTGGTACAAGAAGTGGCACGTGTGTAGGCGCAGGAGATGGAAGGGAACTCTTCACATCTTCTGCTCAGCTTTGCCAGGAATCTAAAACTGCTCTAAAAATAAAGTTTCTTAGAGAAAGATTGCAGGTTCTGCATCAGTTCTTGATTTACTGGTGGATCCAGTAGCCCTCCAGCCAACTGAGACACCCTCTGCCCTGGCTGCACATCCCATCCTCCTTTCATCTGAAGCTGTTGACAAGGCTCCATACATCAGCAAAGGACCAGTCGGGGCATCCCCTAATGCCTGCATGTGCAATAGGCAACAGGCAGTGGGCGGTCACCTCAGCATCCAAACACGGCTAGGAATTTCTGCAGCAACTCCTGTGCATGGGTTGTAGTGAACTTGCCATGGCTTGATGTGTCCACCTGACTGTCCTCTGCTTGAGGAACTGTCTGTGTGACAGGATCGATGTGAGTCTGATGCTGTGATCCTGCGAGCCCTGCGATGCATCCTGCGATGCATCCTGCGATGCTCTTCCTTATGGAACATCTTGAGGGCCACAGATGAACCACATGACTCAGAGGTCTCTCACTGCTTGCAGACAAAGTTTCCAGGGGGAAACTCAGGAGCAAGCTCGGGAAGGCTGTGGTGCAGAAAGACGGAGGTAATTGATTTGTTCAAGTCCATTAGCCTAATTTTGCCCGGAGATATTGATCGTCTGAGAATGGCAACCTGTCACTGGAGATGTTTCATTACCTTCACTTAAAATGGTCTGAAATATGACAGACAAATGTAAGCTTCACAGCAAAGCAATCATCTCTGGGCCAGAAGCACTGGACACAGGAGGTGACCTGTGTTTAAAGCTGAGCTATTGGTGGACGGGCAATGGTTCCACTGGAGGCTACAGTTTACCATGTTCAGGACAAAGAGACTTTCACAGGTCTGCATAAGACAACTCCATGAGCCTCTACGGAAAGCCTCTTTCATGCAGGTGTTCTAATGCTTTCAGGCCCTGAGCTGCCTTCTCCAGATTGCGCCATTAGGTCCTGTCTCTTTGCTTGTCTCCTTTCCTTAGTCCTCCACAAAGAACTAATCTAATAACTCTTCTCTCGTTAGGCCCCCATGTTGTTAATCAAATGTGGGGAGGTGACCAATTGGCCTGGATTAACATAATTAACTTTAAAAATCATACATATTCAAAAGGTTCTGAAAAGCATCTGGGTACCATTTTAAAAATCATTGGATGATCAAATTAACAGCCTAAGAAATTAGACCTATAACTGCTTACTTTGAAAAAGGGTTCTCTCTTTCAAAGCAATGTTTATAAAAGACAGGAAATCCCATTGGGGGGTGGCGCTACATTCTATGATGGATTAGTTCTCTAAAGTATCATATTTGCTGGAGATTGGACTCTCCTGATGGCATTTCCAGATTTGGCTGAGTGCAGATAGACACCATCTACATTTGTGACTGGAAAATCTTCCAAAGAGCTTTTCTGCAGGACCACGGGGGTGAATAAATCACACACAGCCACCTTTGAATGTCCAGTTTCCCAAAAAACTGATCAGAGCTCAGAGGCTAATCAAATGACCTAGAGTCACTTGGCTTCATGCTATTTAGACCTATTAACATCAAAGCCAACTTCATCAGTTCTGCTTGTAAATAATAAAAATGAAGAGGGCTTTATTGAGCGCAAAACTTCAGCTTGCTGGGACCTAAAGCCCAAAAGCGCAGAGGTAGGCTTGCAACTATAATCCAGGCCTTGTGAACTTGAATCCTTTTATCCGCTTTCATAGCCATAGGCTTTGAAGAAAAGGCCAAGCAGGACTATGTCCAGGAATGTTCACCTTTGTTTTCATTACTTATTACCGGAACAAGACATAAAGGGATATAAACTATTAGCTAAACCTCCTCTAATCCATCACCTTCAAGCCAGGGAAAATCTCTCTTAATGAACCAGTTTCTGAGTGGTCATTGCTGCATTCCAGAGCCAGCCTGCAGGACCCTGAATACTGAATGCTAACAGCACACAGCGAGGAACTGCAGAGGGAAGAGGAGAGGCTGACAGGGAGCAGCAGGAAGGGACCTTGCTTGTAACAATGGCTTTTGTTCGGCATCTACATCCATTCAGAGAAGCCCTGGCTTGGGAGGGAATCTATCTACACATCAAAGTAGTTCATTTTTCTAGGAAGCGGGCACTTTCCCCAGGTTGCTATTTGCAGAGAATCTAAGTCTTTGAAACACCATTAAAGCATATCTCAGTCATATTTTGTATATCTTTTGTGATCTTAAGCTCAGAGAGATGCAGCAGGCTGAATCTTTACCCACTTGAATAATGGAAGGGAGGCAACTGGGGCCTGAAACCACAGAGCAGATTGTTGAGAATGTCCCAGCCGTCAGCGCTCAGGATGCCAGCTGGTGCAGTGAGGATGACGATGCATCTCCTGCTTTCTCTGGCTGTAGGATTTAAGACACCTGGTAGAATACATCGGCTTCATATACCGGCACATGAATAAGGCGATTTCCATCAAATGAGGCGTGGTCACGGGTGGAAGTGATTTTTAGCCTTCTATTGTTCTGTTCTGCATTTTCTACTTTTTGATCATAAACTCATCAGTTTGAGAACTGGGAAGGAAACAGCACATTACGGTAGCCTCCAGCCTCAATCGGTCCAGCTGGAAGCCCAGGCACAGGGCTCCTGTGGCATCCCGACTGTACCAGTGCTTCACAGTGGCCTCTCTGAGTGTCTGTCTCATCAGCGCCTGGAATCACACAAGGTGAGACTATCTCTCCTTGGGTTTCTTCACATCCTCACAGACGTGTCCATCATACTGGAGAACTAGGAAAGGTGTTTGTTGAATGAGTCAGGGAAAACAACATCCATAAATAATTGTTAGCAGAAGAACACCCTCGCAATGGCTTTGTGATCACAATCAGTCTCTTTTGGTGATAAAGACTCCTCACAGAGTTTGCTGTAAATGGCACAAGAAGGGCTTCCCATTGGAACCCATTATGACTTTTTTTTTTTTTTTTTTTTTTTCCTGGAAAGGCTCTGTGTCCCTGGACTCCTATTAGGCTAATGTAGACTCTTAGTCTTGTCCTGCCCATGTATAGGGAGAGTACTCAGGGCACCTTTGTCAATCCTAAGAGGATTCTAAATAAATTTAGATTCAGGATCTCAGAAAACTTTCAAAAATTGTAGCCCCCGAGGAAGATTCTGATAAGCAAATAAGCCAGACCCAACTATCCATAATGAATACTTCATTTTTCCTAGGCTTGCCGGGCATTTTTAGTTCCTCTGGGTTTGTCTGCCCTAACTCTGCCAGGTGAGGAGATCCTAGGTCTAGAGATGATAAAGATTTGCACAGAGGCAAAGCCACAAGTGAAATGAGGGTGCCACCTGGGGTGGGGGTGGGGGAGACATCATCCTTCTGCTGCCACCTGGAGCATCACCTAGTTTCTTGCAGCAAAGGAAGGGCTGAGCTGCCTCCTTTAAACCGCTAGCTAATTCCTAGCTACCTATTCCTGGATTCTGGCCTGGTCACTTTAAAGGAAATATGCGTGCGTGGCCAATCCGCGGTTTGGAAGTAGGTACCTTAGGAAAGAATCTCTGCCTTTCTTCCTCGCTCCTGCTATTCAGATGCTTTTTATTCTCAGCCCAGCTTTGCAAAGAAAACTGCTGATTCATTCACTTCTCCTTCTCCCTGTAGCTAGGATGAAAGGATATAAATAATTTACATTAGGATATCAAGACAAGCTGTGGTTTTAAATTTGTTGCATTCTTGGCCTGAGTTGCTTCTGTCACACTGATTTAAACTAAAAGAGCCAGCAGTGATTATCACAAGCTTTTATTCTGGTCAGAACGCACCCATTTGCTGCAAGTCTGTAGGCTTGAAGGTTAAATTCTTACTGTAGATGTTGCTGAGTACAGGTAGTACATGTGAGAGCCCAGGCATTTTCAAGAATCAAGCCTGAACTTGAAAAGGATATTCTGGACTGATTTTAAATAAAAAGCCCTAGCAGATATAAAAGACTACATATAGGATAAAATTTCTGTTTGCTATCTAGGAAAGTCGGAAGTTTTAGACATTTAAGATTCATGCCAGGAGACCAGAGAACATGGCGGACAGACAACAGCAACTACCAGAGGCTCTCTGAAAGGTTCGGCTCAGAGGCCAGAAATAATGCGGACTAGGGAGACACGAATCAGTAGAGATATGCTCTGCTGACTCAGGAACGAACTGGGCTGAGAGAATCCAACTTGGAATACAGTCCTGGCGCTAAAATAGGAACAGAAAAATCTCGGTGTGGAGGCTCGACTCCGCGCCATCGGAAACCGGTTTGGATTTCCCGCCGTGCGGCGGCCGGCTATCTCCACAGCGGCTCAGCAAGGAGAGACGCGCCGAGCTCTGGGAGCGCCGAGCTCTGGGAACGGGAGAACGGAGTCGAAAAAAAAAAGGACGGACAGAGGTGTACACGAAAACTGACTGGTGGCGAGGTGAGTGAGAATCTGACCCCCCACCACAGTTTGACTCTAGCGGAGATCTCTCTGGGCGCCATCCCCCTCTCGGACGGGATTGGAGAAAAGTGCCTGGCCTGAGTGACGCTGCTGGCGGACTCTCTAGGCTAGACTAGCCTAACCCAGATCCCAGAGCCGGACGATGGCCCGGAGGAGCGACTGACTTCCGCGTAGGCTGCCTCCTCCGACTCCCTGGTGCGCAGCGGTGGGCGGGAACAACTAGCCAGCGCAATTTGATCAGGCTGTGGCTGACAGGCAGGGAAGCCGGGCCTCCTTTGTAAGATTGCATTTTATAAGGAACAAAAAAATATGGGGAAGGGAAGCAACAAAAAAAGCTCCTCGGCCCCCAATCCTGAGAAACAGGCAATAATGGACGCCGCACCAGTATACATTAAGCACCATATTGAGAGCCTCATAGACCAATTCAGGAATGAAGTTATCAATGATCTGAAGCTAGAAGTATGCAGAATAGTTAGAGAAATGCTAAACACCACCCAGGAAAAAACAGATGGTGGAATGGAAGAACAGAAAAAGAGGGGAGAATTGCTTGATGGAGAAAACAGAGAAAGCATTGAGTATGTGAAGCAGGTTCAAAGGGACTATCAAGAAATTAATAAGTCTATACAAGACTGGCATAACAGCTTGAAAGAAACTAAGGACAGACTATCTGAACTGGAGGGCAGACTTGAAATATGGGAGAATGAAATGAAAAACTTCTTAAAAATAACAAAGAAACAAACAGCAATAATACAAAGACAAGAAGATGATAAGAGGAGCCACCACTTAAGGATTAAGAACATAGAAGAAGAAGTAGGGACACAAACAAATGAATTACAAAAGCTACTCACAGAAATAATCCAGGAGAATTTTCCTAATTTAGCAAAAGGTAAAGATACTCAGCTGTATGAGGCATACAGGACCCCAGCTACCTACAACCCTAACAGAGAAACACCCAGGCATATAATAATAAAAATCCCAGAAATTCAATACAAGAACAGAATATTAAAAGCTGTAAGAGACAAGAAACAGATCACTTACAAAGGAACACCCATCAGAATTACAGCAGATTTCTCTTCACAAACCATCAAATCACGAAGAGCATGGGGGGAAATAATTCAAGCTTTGAAAGATAATAATCTCCAGCCAAGATTGAGATATCCTGCACAACTGTCCCTGGAAATTGAAGGAAAAACGAGGTGCTTCCAGGATAAAGAGGAACTGGGGGAATTTGCAACCACCAATTCAACTCTACAGAAAGTATTGCAGGATATTCTAAAAAAAGAAAAATACAAAGAACCCAGAAATAGTGGCAGGGAGGCCACAACGAATGGAGCAGAGAACAAAATGAAGAAGACAAACTGACAGCTACTGACAGAAAAAGAGCTCAACAGAAATGAGACAGAGAAGATTGGATGATAGGAACAGCTATTTTTGAGAAAATGACATCTTAATAGGTAATGCTGATTCAGTACCATCTTGTTTTGAAGTCTCATCTAGCTTTTGTTCTTCTGTCTCCAATGGTCTAACCAGGTTGTATCTTATTGGATTTTGTTATGTACGTTAGTATAAGCAAAAACCTTTTAAAGACAAGGAGATTATACAGAGACCATTGTTCATTTTCTGTTAGTCAATTCCAAATACTCTATAATGCTGTCATTCTCTTAAATGGTTTTACATTGTTTTGATATACTTAATGCTACAGTATATGAAGTTGTACTCAAGGACTTCAGGGAGGGAGTCAATATGGTAACTATTTTTAAGTCGGAAATATCTGGTGGTGAAACACTATTCTGCTTAAAAGGTTATGTTTTGATCTGCCCTGTTTCGCTGTTATGCCCTCTTTTTCTTTTTCTCAATCTCCACTCCATTATATACTTTTTTATTGTTATCCATTTAATTAAAGGGAAAAATATAGCAGGATATAATATAGTAACCCACTTTGACTTTCTATTTTCTCGATTTGAAGCCCTGTATTACTCTCACCATCTTGTTTTTGACTGAGGTTCCTCTATTCTGTTTTGCTGAATAGTATCAGGTTCGAAAGTTTAGGCATCAGCTGAGAAGATAATGAGATTCATTATAACGCCCATTCTCGTTGACTTCTATCTACTTTTGAAGACCTACAATATCTCCAATGTTTTGGTTTTGTCGGTTTTATCCTTTACGGTTTTGTTCAATAGTATTACAACTAACGATATAGGCAATTCTATTAGAAATAGCGGGAGGCATTAGGGTAACCATTGTTGATCACCTTGTATTATGTTTTTATATTATCTATTATATCCACCCTTTTGACTTGACCGATTCTGTTCTGTCATGTCACATTTGGTTTTACTCTCTTCCAAAAAAGCAATAAGAACAGTGGGAGCAATGAAACCCAAAATGTGTAATAGTCACTGTACAAAAGAGAGGAAAAGAAAATGCTCTAAACTATATAACTGCATGTATATTTAAATGTATAAGACAGAAAATGATATCACAGAGTTCTAATGGATCATTGAACAGAACTGTTTGCAGTATCATTGCTGGAATGTCCACTCTACAAACTTTAATTCTGTGACTTGAACAATTATTTCTAAGATGGCAATATGTAATCTATTAACTAGTGATTTCCTACTGCGCATTTTTTTTCTTCTGTAAATCTGTATAACTTGTACCCTTCACTGTTTTTTTTTCTTTTCTTTTCTCCTTAAATAAAAATTAAAAAAAAAAAAAAAAAAAAAAAAAAAAAAAAAAAAAAAAAGATTCATGCCAATTTTTGTGACTGATTAGAGGAACATTTCTTCCTGCAGTTTTCTTGTGACTCTAGTGTTGTCTGAGTCTAGAAAAATCCTTCCAAATTAAAGGATCACTGCCACAAAGTGAGGTATACCCTTGTGAATCCCAGATTGCCAAGCCCAACATGAGAAGACAAGAAGGAAAAACAGCAAGGAGAGGGTGACAAAAAAAAAAAAAAAAAGCAGAAAGGGAATAGAGACGCATCCTCCTGTTTCTGTGCTCATCTGTTTCTCCCTAACGCTGTTTTGAGGTCTGCTTGTCTCTTTCCTGCTTCTCTCTTTCTCCACCCAATCACTTCTGATATATTCTCAGTTTCATTTTCCCATGCATGGCTTGTTTCCTGTAGTTAGACTGTTCTTGTATTTGTAATATAGGTATTTTTCCTTTGGTCTCCTCCCTCCCCCCAACTAAGGATAATCTGTGGAGAAGATTAAGAGAAAGACTTTAAAGTGGTTGGTACAGATGCATCTTTTATGAAGAGAGACACTCACTGCACAGGAAAATAGGACAGGAGAGGGACTCACGCTGCTCCCCATCCCGGTCCACATGGCTGGAGGAAATACACATTTTCCTAAAAAGTCCCAGAATCCTTCTTAATACCTCATGCTCTGCAGCCTCCATCAACTTGTCAGAGTTGGAACAAGAGATGAAGCCATTTTGCTAATCTTAAATAATTTCAGTGAAACCGTGCAGGGTGGGTTCAAACGTCAGCCCTCAAGCTACTCAGGGCATTACCAGGTGCTTGCTTCAGGGCAGCAGTCAGAGAAGAGCTGATTGGTTCCTCCAGATAACTGTGGACGCACATGGTGATAATTGTCCTGACTGTTTTCCCTGCAATGGGACATGCTTTGCAGTGATAATCAGGCTTAATTGGTGAAGATCTCTAACTGCTGAGAACCACCAAGTGATATTTGTTCAATTTTATAATTCTGGCTATCGGCTCCTATTGTTCTCCTCTGGATTTTGTGTTTGGAGACTTGGTGTTCCCAACGTAGACAGTCCCTGAGTCTTCCAGACCCAGGTGGGGATGTATCCTCTCCAGGGAATGGCCCGTCCTGAGTGTCATCTCCCTCAGCTCTGAAGTAAGATCTGTATCCTAGTCTGCTCAGTGTCCTGCAACAGACCTCTTTAATGTGGGTGTCTCGTAACCAACAGAAATTTGCTGCTCCTTGTCATAGCATCTGTCCAAGGTCAAGGTGCCAGCAGATTCCGTAACTGGTTAGGACTTGTGCCTCATAGGCAGCCCCTTCTTGCTGCATTTTCCCATGGTGGAAAGGAGTGACCAAGCTCTCTTGAACCTCTTTTATTGGTCCTATCCAATACCACCTTCACGACTTAATGATCTCCCATAGGCCCCACTTCTTAATACTGTTGCACTGAGGTGTGGTTTCAACAGAGGGATGGATATGTGTG